CTCTCCCCCTTCCTTTCCTGCTCTCCTCTGTGCAGACTGGCAGGGGATGAAAAGCTGGCAAGTGATCAAAACACCCCACCCACCATCGCTGCCTGTTATCCTCCCCACACGCTCTCTCTCTCTCTCTCTCTCTCTCTCTCTCTCTCTCTCTCTCTCTCAGCATCTGCATTTTTCCTCCCTCCTTCTCTCCCCCTTCCTTTCCTGCTCTCCTCTGTGCAGACTGGCAGGGGATGAAAAGCTGGCAAGTGATCAAAACACCCCACCCACCATCGCTGCCTGTTATCCTCCCCACACGCTCTCTCTCTCTCTCTCTCTCTCTCTCTCTCCACCATTACTCTCCACTTTTTCCTCTCATTAATTCTCCCCAACCTTCTCCCCCCCACCTCTCTCTCTCCCTCCTGTTACCCTTATTTTGCTTCTTTGCTCCCCCGCTGCTTCCAGCTCGTTCAGTCTCTCGTTCCGTTCACCTCTCGTATCCTATACGAGCTCCGTTTTTGGTTCTCAGTCATCCTCCCTTCATCCTTCCTCATCCCATTCTCCTGCTTTCTTTCTCATCTTCTTCACTCATCCTCCTCCCCCCCCTCTCCTCCTCCTCACCTCCACTCCCACGTCTGAGCAGCAGAAGCGGAGTGTGAGAAGCAGAGAGAGGAAACGAGAGAGAGAGCTTGTTGTTAGCGGGCTGAGGCAGAGCTGTCATCAGCTGAGGGATCTGAAGGTCCGTGTGTGCGTCTGTTGGACGTGCGTGCTCGGGTCTGTGCCGAGCCAATTTAGGCTGAGCAGCCTAATCAAAGGGAAGAGGAAACACATACACACAGCAGCCCCCCCAGCCCCCCCCCCATCTCCCTCTGCCTGCCTGTGTTCACTCTAGGGCTGGAAGGAAAACACTGCACATAAACACGAAGCGTTGAGCAGCACGGATGATCTGTGCGAGGTGATCAGCAGGTTACCTGTAAGCTCAGAGATGTGTGCACATGTGAGTGTGAGAGAGGGAAAAAACAGAGGGAAAAAACAGAGGGAAAAAAACTGAGGAAAAACACGATTTTGGTGCTGAATCTGAACAGAAGCCAAATGGGGGCAGTTACACCAGAGAGCGTCAGACTGAAAGAGTCAGGAAAGGAAGGGAAAGGAAACAGAGACGAGCAGTCAGAGGAGACCTCTGCGATGGGCAAAGTGAAGGTGTTACTCTGGGGACGTCAAACAGAAAGAGGGATCGTCAAAGGGAAAGGGGGAAGAGCAAAGCAGCTGGTCTGAGTTCAAGGCTTAAGGCGGCTGGCAGCAAGAGGGCGAACAGGAAAGGAATAGAAGTGCTCCTCTGCCAGCACACCAACACAATTAGATGGTTCCTTCTTTCCCAGAGACGCTGGTCAGCTTCCTCCTGCAGCCAGCTCGCTTTGATGTTTCCACTCAGCAGAGAGGTTCTGAGTGGCCCGTCCACACTCTGCCTGCATCACAATTACAAACCCAAGATTCAAGCACCCCCTTTCAGGCCCAAGTTTGAAACTAAAACCATCTTTAGCTGAAACCGAATGGAGTCGGAGTTGTTTGGGGAAGGGGCTCTGCTCCTCGTGTTTATGACTTCTATCATTTTGTCTTCCTGTCTTTGTAGGATCTGTAAGATATTTCCTGTGATCCACCTTCACGAGCAGAACCATCGCTCTGCCACCCATCCAGCGAGGCAAACACTCGGCTAAAAAAAGAAAAAAACAAAACTAAACACTGCGGCGATGACTGATGATGGACAGGCGTGTTTGGCCAGAGGCGGCACCGACGCAGAGCGAGTTCTGGGGACACCGCTCCGGAGAGTCCAGCTGCTTCCTGAAACTGGACGAGAAAAGTGTTTTGTTGTCRGCGTCCATTTTACTGCGAGGCAGAAAGGGAGGACGCACTGTTTGTTTCTAGCCCAGTGGAAAGTGTTTGAAATGCACAGCGAGGTGTGTGTGTGTGTGTGTGTGTGTTCTGCCTTCGGATAGGCTGCTATCATGCTCAGACAGCTGGCGGTCACTGATTGGACTGAAGCGTCCCTCTGGCCACCATGTCTGCAGGCCAACAGGTGCAGACACGCGTGCTTGAGTTTCTCTATGTGTGTGTGTGTGTGTGTGTGTGTGTGTGTGTGTGTGTGTGTGTGTGTGTGTGTGTGTGTGTGTGTGTGNCCATTGTACTGTCATTCTACAGCCACTCCATCACCGTGTGTCTGAGTGTTCAGAACTGAGGAGATCATCCATCAGAAAAAAAGAAAAAGAAAAAAAAAAAAAAGAAAAACAGCAGCCAACCACTGGATGTACTATCTCAATGTTTGTGTTTTAAACAAGAAACATCTGTACATGATGATGATGATGATGATGATGATGATGATGATGTGCTTTACAGGTTCTAAATATTCCGACATAAAAAAAACAGATGCAGTATTTTAATATCTTATCTTTAAAAGTGTATTTTGATGTGCATTAAACATCATTGCGTCACCCTTGGTATACGTAACACTTTGTGTTCTTCAGTTACAAAAAGAAAAAAAGAAAAAAAACAGTATACAGATCAGTATGAAAATGACAAAAAAGAAAAAAAAGTTTAATTCAACATTTGTGCACATTCAGTATGTACAGTAGCCATCGTCAGCTGTCCGGACGCAGTCGAGGGCTCTGAGTCGGGTCACGTCACTTCATGACGACGAGCAGTTCAGGAGTATTAACCAGTGAAACAGTTTTCACACGCCGCAGCCGCACAGAAAGAAGCGCATTTGAACTAGACTTCACGCCACGTTTTGTCTGTYTGTGTATCTGAGATGTAGCCTCTTTCTTTCCCCCACTCTGCCCTGTTGTATAACACTGTGCAGAGTGTCGGTTAAAGTTCTAGTCATATCAAAAAGAGACATATTTAAATATTTAAAGCAGTAAAGAAAGTGCAAAAAAAACACAAAACAAAAAACGCCACACCGTACTCTTTTATGAAGCTCAATATTTAATGGTGTACATAAGTATTTGATGCTGTTTAAATGTAAGATGTGATGTACTAATATAATTGTGTATAGTATTTCCTAGAGATGTTTATTTTCTATAAAATGGAATATGTTATTGCTTATAAAATGTTATTAAAAGAATCCATTGATGAGGAGAAAAAAAATACCAACTTTTTTTTTTGAGAATGTCACTTGTCTTAAGTGGGAGCATGCCATTTTATTGATTTTCATGTCTATTTGTTTGGACTTGACGACGCAGCATCACTTTGTTTGAAATGTTTTTGTAACGCCAATGTTAAATATACCAGCACCTTTCTATGCTGCTATGGACCAATGCCTGCTCTTTGTGTCTTCACTGAACACTCGCAGACATTAACGGAGTGGCATTTTCAACAGTTTTAGTGTAAGATAATCAAATACCAGGGCAACAATAAACAAGTATGTCATCAGCATAAAGACGCATTAGTAACGTTTTGTCTCATTGTTCACACGACCTGTAAAGGGATGAGGTCCTAAAACACAACCTTGAGGAACACCTTTTCAGAAGAAACAGGTAAACGATAAAAACTAGCCTGGTTTGAAAGGCCTACTGTGTRAAAGTCTCCGGCACACAGCAGTGGTTCTCAGACATTTCAGTTTGTTTTATGTTGGACATTAAAAGTTAAGTTTATTTAAAACATTTCAGTAAACTTTTACTATCAGTAACAGAAATGAGCAACCTTGACCATTYTGCAAACCCAGCTGGCCTAGGAGCACCAACCAAAGCTGGCTCTTCTTCCCATTGTTCTCCTTTATGAGAGGGTGATGGTTAATAGCTGAAACACCCAATGAACTCTAATCTACTATTGAGGATGTGTACCAGAATTAAAAAAAAAACTAAAAATTGCTTTAAAAAATCCATGATTTTAACTCCAGAGTATATGCAGTCAGGCTTAAACAATGAGGAAATTTATCTGCCTTCAAATATAATTTTTCCTTTACTTTTTAAAGTATTTTACTTTTATTCATCTTTTGGAAAAAACAAATAAATCTTAAAAGAAAAAAAATCACAGCATCACAATTAGCTTCTTTACAAAATGATTTAATATTTACATGTGATGAAGTTGAACTAGATGTCAGTTACAGGACATATAACCAAGACTAAAACTCTGGTCATCTCAATTCCACGTTTTCTTTCAAATAAAAAATCATATGAAAAATGTGGTTCACTAAAGATATGAAACCGCAACAGCTAAAAAGAGCAAATATTGCCCTTTATGTTGGGAGTTAAACATAACACAATGACTAAGGGTTCTTTATGAAAACGATCATTTAAAAAAAGAAATGTTAAAGTTTTGTTTTAAATTCAATAGAACTGAACACTGCTTTTGATATCATAGTTGGACAAGACGAGAGTCTAACAGCTCAGGGGGTCAGCGAGTTAAATAATAACTTCATTATGTCACCACGTTGAGGTTTCTCTGACAATACAGTATTGACCATGTGGAATAAATTCATGGTGGGAAAATAAGCATTTACACCTCTGCTTATGAAAAAAAGCCTAATCAAAGCTCTTCCAAATTATAAATACATAAAATATTTACACAGCAAAACAAATAACTTCTATGAAAATAAGTATAATAATTATAAAGCCATATTATTATTATTTTAGCTCATTAAAAGCAGCCTCACAGGCCTAGTGCAGATAAAAACATGGAGCTTGGACAGTTTACATCATTCAAAGAAACTTCTAAAAGCTTGTGGAGCAGGTTCCCTCTCTTCAAGCCCAGAAGTTTGGTTATTTTTCCTCTTACAAATAAGGAGACGCCTCATACTGCAGCCAATSAGAGCAGCCGGTCACTCCTGCCACCCAGTCTACAGTCAGGGTGGAGGTGGAACTACGATGGCTGACTGCACCGCCGGCCTCGAGGGTGCGGTGGCGCCTCTCTGTGGTCCAAGACTGACACTGCAGTGAACATGAGTTTGGCTCGACGGGAAGAGAGTTCTCGTGATATTTCAGGGTTACAGTTTTGGATCTGTACAAATGCATCCTGGTGTGAGGGTCGAGCAAAGACAACCCATRTAAGGAAAACTCCACCCGAGCCCAGTTTTCTGTTTGTGGAAGCAAGGTTCTTCTCCGTCTCCGTGTTCGCTTCTGTCTGCGAGAGATGTTCCTGTTTCACGAGCGTCTGTGCGATCCTCACAGCCCCTCCCCCGCCTTCCCCTCGCTCTAGCTGTTGGTGACGGTGGTGCCGCTGCTCAGTTTGATGATCATCTGCTGGCAGTCGTGGAGGGTCCGCTTGTCGCCCAGCTTCTCCAGGGTGCGGGCCGCGTCGGCCAGCATGCCCACCCTTTGGCCCGGAGCTGACAGGAAGGAGGGAGGGAGGTAGCGGCACGCCAGCATCACCGCCTCCGCCTGCTCCCGCTGGCCGGGCCTCGCCTCACACTCCTCTGCGCACAAGAACACACGACGTCATCAGCCAAGAGCTAACCAATCCACGG